CGCTTAGAAGGAGGAGTGGAGCAACACTAGACCGAGGTGTAGAGCGAGGAGTCAGAAACCAGCCAGAGGGTGGGACTGCATTCAAAATGAGAAGTCCAGTGTTACGATCTGATTTGTTTTAGAAATGCTTCAGTGTGACAATGAATGGTAATTCCATACAGAGGTTGATAACATTTAACTTTACGGTGTGAATTACATTCTGATTGCTTTAAACACTGACTGATAAATATGCGTCTCAGCAGGTGTGAAAATGCAAATAGTTTTTTAAATGTTTTCAACTTGAGCATTAGCCTTCAAATCAGATCAGAATCGCCGGAAATGCCATGTTTTGCGTTCTATCGTCTAAATCAGTGCCAATTTTGAATAACAGTTTTAACTAAAAATCAACCCTCTGGCATATTTAATGCTACTCCTTACTTTCATCAGAAATGGCATATTTAGCAGTCTGTAGGCCGAATTCAAAGCCAAGTTTAATAACAAAATGTCTTTTGATTTTTGCAGTTGATATATTATGTTCCTAAAACTAAGGCAAACTGTCCTTATCAGGAAATCAAGTTACAATAATAATTAAATAAAACTAAATTTAATATATTCAAGAATCGGACTGATGATGTCTGATGCAGTTGTAGGATCCAGAATTAAATAGAGCAGCATAAATACAATGGACATCGTTTCCTGTATTTGAGTATTTATACACTAAACCAGGTACAAGTCAATACGCATACCAATCTGCGTTGTGCTCTCGTGTGATTCCATATTTAGCTCGAACACGTGACCTATACTTTGATGCCAGCAAGTCATTCGTTTCTTTAAACCTTCTTCCACGCTTAGCAAAATCATCACGCAGGTAGGTCTTTGATGACTCCAAGTTCGCAGGTTCAAAACTGCGGAAGCGAAGTTTACCCTACAAGAGGGGAAAACAGAGGCTTTCGTCGTTCGTTATCCAAAAACTCAAGTCACAGTGACACCTCAATTCCATTGAGTTGCTCAATGCACACGGGTCAACGCACGCTGGTTCGTGAGCTAAAAATGACCTCAGTATTCAAACTGTAATTGGGCAGGACAAAACCTTATACCAACTATAAATTCTTTTCGTACACGTCAGATTTCAAAATGGCTGAACTTTGGACAGGACAAATCTTTAAAAGTATCCCAATGTCGTTTTCATTCTGAAAACGGCTGTTTAATAAGTTATATGAAAAAGAATTATTTACCTGGACATTTTTCAGCTTTGCGGTTTCCATTCGAGCATAACTGCCCACTTCATCTTTTGCAGGGACAACAAGACCGACGGTCAGGAGGAATACGCCAAAAATTGTCAGGCTAAAACCACGCGTCATGACTGCTGAGAATCCTCGTTGTCTCCTCAAAATATGCTTTACTTCATCCAGTGCCTCATAAAGTAAGAAGTCCTAGTGACCATGCAACGTTCGTGATCACATATATATACCTAATCGTGGGAGTCGTAGTGGGCAATTTTGCCACATAAATGTATATTTTTGCCTCATTTTCGGGTTGACATTTTAGGATTGATATGCTGTACCTTTTAGAATAAAGGTTAATTCTGAACAGAAGGCGTCAAAATGCGTTTTAGTGTCACTGCAGATTACATGTTATAACTTGGCAGGTTAGTTTTCAGGGAGGGGGATTAGGGGGCTTAATTTACGGTACGAAACTGCACCGCTCACGCTTTCTGTCGTCAGATCTTGGCTGCATTCAATCAATTTCGAAGTAATGTTGCTATTTTACAGTCATATTTAATTTCACTTTGCAGATGGTCAGATCAATGGAAACTACATTTTTAATATCGACAAGTTTAAAGTTTCGAATATTTCAAGAAAGCTCCATTCACTAGCATCTGAATGAGATTGATAATAAGGTTATCTACCACTATACTAGTGAAACATATTTAGGAATTGTGATAAGTGATAAATTGAAGTGGAGCGAGCACTGTCATTTACATTAAGTCCATCAACATGTTAAAACTTTTTAAACGAAATCCTCGTGGCCACTGCCTAGGTTAGTTGAAGGGGGGTCAGCTCGTACGTCTGACGCCTCATAATTCTGACGCCTCATTGGTCCAACACCTCATACGCCCGATGCCTCATATGACCGACAAATGCGTTTCAAAGTTCCAACGGTTTTTCTGCCCATGGCAAAGATCCAACGCCTCAAAAAATCCGATGCCTCGGAAGTCCGACGTTTGATTTGACGCTCGTTACGAGCACATGAAGACGGCGCTTGGAACAAGACTGGTTCTCGGTGCAAGTATGGTGTACTATTTATGACAAAACATTTCAAATATTTCAAAAGTATTACATTAGAAAAAAATGTTGTTTATATTTAGCGAAGTATCATACATCGTTCTTACACGTAGTGGTATTTTGGATTGAACAAATACTGGACCAGTGTACGAACTGTGTAGGTAGTCTGCTTGATTTAGTTTTCCTAACAGAGTCAGTACCGCGGGCACGAGTTGGGAACAAAGTTGAATCTCGCTCGCGGGCGACACGTTGCGCTGGCCCACACTCCTCCATGTTTCACAGTCAATTGCACTGATGCCTCATATTAAGTCCAACACCTCGTCGGTTCTACGTTGGATTTATGAGGTGTCGGACCTTTGAGGCTTTGGAACTATGAGGCTGTAAAAAAAGATGCCCATAAATCCGACGCCTCATTACTCCAACGCCTTATAAGTCCGAAAATTCAGAGTTTAAGGCGTCGGACCTTTGAGGCGTCAGACTTACGATACGCACCCGAATAGGGTTGGTTTATCCAGCATACAACGTCAGCGCTGTGTCAAGGGATAATATAATGGCCCATGAAAACTTTGAGGTCCTTCTTCAGAACCAACTGACGGAGCGATTTATAGATAGAGTTGTCAAACTAGTGTCTCTTGTTGGAGCGATCGGCGAAGTGGCCAGGGGCGAGGTGGAAATGGGGCAGACTGTCTGTAAAGCGGAGGAACAATATGAAACGCAATGAGCTCGTATTTACCCAACTAGTAGACACAGTAGGCAATGTGTGTCAATGACCCACAAAAATGTGGAGGCTTAAAGAAAACGAGGAGTGGAAAAACAGCCAGAGTTTACGCCAGCACATTACAAGGAGTTAAGATACACCTCACTGAGGTGGAGACGTCCGGACGCGGCCGTTCACAAGGAAAAGACTACATGTACGTTCAAAATGAGAAGTCAAGGAACACGATTTGATTCGTTTCAAGAATGCTTTAGTTTGACATTGAATAATAACATAACAAATAACATTTGATTTTACTGCGTGAATTATATTCTGATTGCTATCAACACTGAATAATAAATATGCAGGACAGCAGGTGTGAATGAGTAAGTCCCTTTCCAGAACCTTTTTCAAAAATGAGCAGATTGATGTAACGAATTGTCTGGACCATTTAATGCCAACCCCCAGCTGTCGGTGGAAATGCCATGTTTGTTTTTTTTTGTTCTATACACCTCATTAAAAATCAGCTTTTGAATAACAAATTCCCCCGCAAAGGAATCGCGATTTACGCATTTGACGTTTAATATTTCTGAAGTTAATTCAAAATCATCTCGACAGGAAATCAAATTACAATAACAATGGAATAAAACTAAATTTAACATGTTTCAAGAATCGGGCTATTGCAACTGTAGGATCGAAGGTTACATGCAGCAGCAGAAATATTGCAGTGTACTTGGTTACTGTATGTTAGGACGTAAACACTAATCAAGTACAAGTCAATACACCTATTACTCTGCGTTGTGCTCCTGTCTGATTCCATATTTAGCTTAAGGCACCTAACCCCTTCTTTGATGCCAACAAGTTGTCCGTCTCGTGAACCTTTCTTTTGCGTTTAGCGACATCATCACGCATGTGGCTCTTTGACGACCTCCAGTTAGCAGGTTGAGAACTACGGTGGCGAGTTTCATACTACATCGCAAGCGGAAAGACAAGGGTGAAAATCAACGTACAGTGGACACCTTCTCAATTCTGTTGAATTGCTCAATGCTCTTTGGCCAATGTGCGAGCTCATGAGCTAAAAAATGACTTCAATATCCATATTGTTAATGGAATAAAAAACATCATTTATATCAACTATGAATTTGTTTTGGTACACGTGAGATTTCACAATATCTGAGCATGAGACAGTTGTGACATTTAAAGGGGCATCTCCTGGCTGTTTTCATCCTAAAAAAGTTCTTTTTTTCGATAATAATTATTTACCTGGAGATTTTTCAGCTTTGCGGTTTCCATTGGAGCGTAAATACCATCTTCAACATCTGCACGGACGACAACACCGACGCTCAGGAGAAAGATGACCAGAACTCTCAGGCTAAAGTGACCCTCCATGACTACTGAGAGTCCTCGTTGTCTCCTTCAAATATGCTTTACTCCAGCCGGTGCTTCGGAAAGTAAGAAGTGTTAGTGATCATGCAACGTTCCTGTTTCCATTTATATACATGTACCTGATCGTGGATTTGTCGTTGGAAATCTCAGCCGATCAAATATTTCAGCCTCATTTCCGGCTTGACATTTTAGGGATGAAATGCTGTACCCTTTTGGAATAAACTTTACTTCTGAACAGAATGCGTAAAAGTGTTTTTAATGTCACCGCGGATTGCATGTAATAACTTCGCAGGTTAATTTTTTTTGGGGGGGATTAATTTACGTTAAAAAACGGCACTGCTCACGCTTTCTGTCATCAAATGTTGGCTGCATTCAATCAATTTGAAGTCATTCGGGCATTTTACCGTCAGTCTGATTTAATCCCACTCTAAAGATGGTCAGAAAAATGGAAGCTACATTTAACCCAAGTTGTCTCTTTTTAACGGTTAAACCATAATTCTCATTGTTTTGAAACAGATTTATCAGGTCTATTATAATGATTTTGTCATGTATTATAATTTTTACTTTTCATTTCCATCTTTGTATTCACATAAACCTTGTGTTATTATATCTTTAAGTTATTTTACGAAGCAATGAATGTTGCTTGGTTCGTGTGATCACAGGTTCATGCATGTTTGAGCCTAGACGAGCTAACAGCATGCTTCCTATTTCTGCTCGATTGTACGGTCATCGCGCGTGCATATCGGGCGCACTGATGAGCAAAGTTAAGAGAATCCTTGCTGTGTCTCCTTCACCGGCAAGAATGCATTTCAACTCAGTACGCACGCTAAGAACGAGGACAGGAGCAACGGTAGAATGAGGAGGAGTCATCAGTGAATTGAGAAAGACCAACTTCAGAGAATTGACCTTTCAAATGTTTGTTTATACGGTACGGTTCTCTTGCCGTATAGACCAACGTGAAAAGAGCCCTAAGATCCCGGTATAATGTTCTCAAAGCCTTGTAAAATGTGGTCGTTTCCATGAAAACGAAAACATCTGAGCATAACATAAAACGGGAGTATTTTCAAAACGTAACAAGTTAAGGATTGATGTGACCCATATTAAAAATTGTTAATACATGTACAAGGATTCTTGCGATTGCGTTTTAATTCAGTAACAGACTACAACACACACCTGCAAAGTTTCTTTCTCGTTTAACTTTAATTTCAAGATTTGTTCATCAGTGGAGATGGTGTTTGAGGTTTTATGCAAATGGGTCCTCTCTTTAGTTCTGGGCAATTGGTTGATTCCCAATGTTTTATTGGTTTGTGTAATAAAACGCACACATTTAAATTGTCAAGATTTTGTGGGCATACATTTTTGCTACTTTGGCGATTCAGTGTTGCAGAAACACGTGGCAATAAGCAAGTTATCAACCCTTTCTCGGAACAGAAAACTAGTCCATTGAACCCTATCTTACTTAAATAACATCTTAGCAACAGCGCCCTCGGTTGCCCCGGAAGCATGGTTAATTTTTCAAATTTTTAAAAGCATTGCATTTCCGATACTTCTATCCCGAAGGTGAGACCCATAGTCTCAAGTGTATTGAAATTCATTTGATATTTCAGAAAAAATTCCATGAATATTAGTTAATCAACGATACACTTACACAGCAGAAATATTACTCTTTTGTATTCCAACGTGGTTAATTTCGAAAACGGAACTAAGATTGCTTGAAACACAGAAACAGGTGCAATAACCCAGGAACATTCTTAATACACTCGATCTGTGTCATGTTTCGGTGAAATCCCTTATCCAGCCTAGTTTGGGCCTATCCATAGACGTTAGGTATCCTCATTGTCCTAGCAACCATCCCTGCCATCAGTCAAACCTTTCCACGGTGTTGAGTATAATCATCAAGGTGGTAGACGTACGTTAGACGCCTCTCGAGGCGCACGTTCGTTGAGACTGGCGTCATGAATGAAATAGCAAAGGTTTTGCGGGACTTTTTCCGAGAAAGGTCGGCCAGAAATGTCACATATCCCCCACGGACTCGCTCAAATACAGATGGCCAGTATGAATTATATGGAAAATGTACTCAATAGATTCGGTAAATCTAGTTAACCCACTGGCTGATAATTTCCGAAACGTTGGCGTCTCCAAAAATTGGCAAAGCCTTTTCTTTGTAAATCGATTCTACACTTTTGTTTCTCATTTTTTTTTCTGTTTTTTTTTTCTTTTTTATTTTGTTGCTATTGTGATAATTTATTGAGCATACCTTGATATTTAGGGAAAGAGCAATGTCAAACAGAATGTCTGGTATTTACTTGTTCATTGCACGTAATAGCTGATGAACGGGTTCCTTATTAAGGAATGTTAAGTGTCCTCAACGAAGCCCAAAATTAATTTGGATTCAAGTTTCATAGATAATCTGAACTAGAGTTAGTTTGGTGCAGATCAACCGGATATGTTATCGGTACGTGGATTGTCAGAAAACTCGGCTCTTTTATAGGGATGTAGAAGATGGGTTTACCAAATGATTCTTCGTATCGCCAGCTTCCTCTGAACTCAGCCTCTGTAACTATGGAGACGACCAGACAGACGCTCAGAAGAAATATGACCAAAACTGTGAGTCAAAAACGACCCACCATGGCTGCTGAGAATCCTTGTCGTTAAAACAAAAAAAAAATGTTGATGTGAAGTCAACTTCGATGTTACAGATAGAAATGATTTTCAATGAGTGATCTGCCAAAGTTTATTATAACAGTCGTAATTCAACTTTAAGGCCAATGATTCCAATGCCAGCCTAATTTTAGATCGGCCCTTTTATGACTTTAGTGTCGTATGGGTTTACGAACCTTTTAATAGTACGTGTCTAATCTAATTTTAAACGTTTTTATTATGAATTCAGAGCCCCATTAAAGCGAAATTACCGCGTTATTTCAGTCGGGACCTTGTAGGCCACACATCCAGCATCCGTTTAATTATGTCATTGAATATGTAGCATGAACAATACTCGGAATATCTATCAAATGGTCTTTCCCCCCCCCATGTTACTACGTGCATTAAAAAATCATTGAATAAGGATGACCAACAGCGTCTTTGAAAACTGAGAAACGGAGTACGTGGCCGTAGGTTTACGTAACCATCTCGAGTTGCCGGATTAACCTCTGAATACGTTGCATACATTACCTAGGGCCAGGTCTACGGATCGTATATTCTTTGGGGAGATGTATTTCAGAATCATTTCAAAAGACAGCAGTCATTGTCGGTTAACCCTTAGGTCTTGCTTCTATCTCTCATCATAGGACTTTAATGTTAAGATCGTTGTAACTCCTATGGCCTCTTCACTGTCAGCCCAAAGGCACCAAAGAGGTCGATGGAAAATAAAACTATGAATTTGTAGCTGAAAAGGGCCTTTTGGGACGGCATGTTGTTGGCATAAAATTATTTCTCCAGCTGTTTCTTTTCATGCCAACATTTTTATTGTGTATGAATCACAGGTAAGTAACCATGTCCGAGAAAAAACAGAAGATGTCACAATTTTACAAAGCAAGGAATGCCCTTTAGTTGCGCACAGTTTCTTACGCGTTGGAGCCTGGAAGTACTGAAAACGGAATACCTTGGTGTTTGGTGCGTGCACGAGCAAGGAAAATCAAACAACGCTGTCTCTTCTTTGTCGATGGGATGGCATTTCAATTTCTGGCGCACGCGCGCTAAGAACGAAAACTGGAGCAACAGTGGAATGAGGAGACGCCAGTAGATTGAAAAAGACCACATTCAAAATGAGGAATGGAACAAATTACCGTTTAATTTTTTTTTATACTCAACGGTTTTCTTGCTATCCAGACTGACGGGGAAGGAGCCGGAAGACTTAACCAGGTAAAACAAATCTTAACATATGAAATATAACATCGGGAGTATTTAAAATATGACAAGCTTCGGATTGGTGAGTAACTCTCGGTACATGATTGAAATAGAAAAACAAGTGCATTAAAACATTTTGTTTTCTAAATAGCATCACAGCACCAGAAAAATTCAATAATTTTTAAATGAATAGACCCCCCAGCAGGTTAGTTGTGCTGTTTTCTCAACATTCTCATGTTTTCGAATGACACTTTATTATTTGTTGAATTAGGCTGAATTGCTATGTAATCCTCAAGCTATTAATGTGCTTAAAGACTGGCAAGTCCCTTTAACGTATCACTAACAACTCAGAGTACGGCCTGTTGAAAGATCAATATCCCCAAGGGACCTATGACGTCACTAACAGTGACTTGGTATCATCGTTTACAGACATGTTCTGACAGGTCACGGCTGTTTGGGTTGTGACTGATATTACTGTACTTCCACAGCAGCATAATGAGATGTAGATACAGAGGGAATCTGAGAGATGTATTAGCTACCATAAAACAGTCGTACATGTTTAGGCATTACTGGTAACTGAACTGGAGACAAAAATCGCCACGTGGCTTGAATTAAATCTTATTAATACCTTTACCCAAAAGGTGAGACACAGATTTTATACTTTATCGAAGAATAGAGTGTGAAATTGCAGAAAAAAAATAGTCTGCAAAATAAATTTGCAACTGTACTTTAACAACAGAAGTGTTTGATATACGGAAAGGTTTCTAAATGTAACTAAAAGTTTGCTTTTTACGAAACGGATACATTAATCCAATGGCATTTTCAAAACACTGAATGCTCCCCGTCGTGTTGCGGTAAAAGTCTGCATTTAGCCCCGTCCATAGCCAAAACGCCCTTTTCCTCTCCTTGTTATCATTCCAGGCGTCGGTTGGACCTTTCCACGGCGCTGAATGTCACCGGCAAGGTGGTTGACGCTAGACACCTGTCGAGTCGCACGCTCGTTTAGACTGGCGTCACGAATCGTTTTCTGCACAGACACAAAAAACAAAGGTTTTGCAGCAGATCTAGTCATCTCAGCTTCTTTGGCTGATAATTATACTCGGACGTTGGTATTTTGATTTGGTTTCGTTTTCCCCACTGTTGCCTGTTTTTCTATCTGTTCGTTGTTTGGGGCTCTGGATTTGTCCGGGTCCCCCTGGTGTGTCTGTTTTCCTCCCACTATGTCCTTCCACTTTCTCTCTTGTTTAAAAGTTTGTTGTTTTGCTTTTACTTTAAAGTTATATTTGAATTGTGATTTCTTAAAATGATACAGATTTAATGTTTGTATTCCTGGCTAGTTAAATTTGTGTATCTGAAGTTTCTATAGGTTTGTCTTTTTCGATTGGAAATCACTAATTGTTAATATAAATTTAACGTTGTCACGATTTTGGATTAATAATATTAAGTGAAAATATTAGGCCTATGTTTGGCGAATTTGGCGCTGTACAAAAACTTTTTATCAGTAGCATTATTTTTAACCAAATGGACCAGGGTTCTGCCATATTTCATTCCTAAGTGAAGCTTTTAAGTTAGTTTACTAATATTAAAATCGATGTAATATCTTGTTTAAGAGCATGAACAGTGTTATATGTAATGGGGACCTCAGGAGTACACCGATGCACATGTTTTTAAGGAGAGACAGTTGATTCATAAAGAATGCGATTTAAACTGTAAAATAGGCGATCAGAACATTGAATATCGCTGACGTATCAGTGGAAGCATTGTCAACCGCCCGTAACTCACACGCCACACCTCCTCACATGAGAATATTGTTTCTGAAAATTTCTAATGACCAATCGAGGGTTGAATATAATTGGTTAAATATAGGACATTTATAGGGGGAAATTTTAAATACCTATTATGTCGGATTGTAAAAGAGGTTGTAGCAATACCTTACAAAGCGAATTTTGTTTACCTTTGCTTCCATACAAACTTCGTTCCATGTGGCCCGCCATACAACCGGCCAACCACACAAACAGTTCATGTACTTTTTTTTGTTCCATTCGCGGTGATCTGACCTGACTTACAGGTGCGCAACAAAAGCATCGTTTCGCGCTGGAGTTTTCTGTTCTATCTTCTTGCGTGCCGCTTGCATGGAGTTCTTTTGCATGTTCATCAAACTTAATTTGTGGAGATATTCCACCTCTGGATTAGCCTTCTTATTTTTGTGCGTTTTGTGGAGGAATATACAGTGTATCTTGTCAACATTTTCTGATTTTGTTACAATAGAAATTGTGAACTAGCAGTGCATTGAGCTCGGATTCAGCCCAGCGCCTGGCCGACCTTGCCCCGTATTTGTTTTGCGCAAGCTGCAGACATGAGCACGCGGTCCTTGGCCTGTGGAACAATCACAGTAAGCAGAGCATAGTCCAGTAGCAAGTAGCTTTCAGTGAGTTGATTTTGTCAACAGTTAGTGTGTGGGATCTAGCATTAAATGTGCACAAGATATTGGGTATAGTCACCGATGTTGGTATCGACGTTTGTCTAAAGATGGAGTTTTAGTACATGGTCTAGGTCCACCCTTTTTTCAGAGTGTAAGTAAACAACACGAACTATAGTTGGACTGAAGTCAAACTCATAGATATACCAAATACAAACCTGTTTTTTTAATACGACAGATTTGAAAAACGACAACGAATTCGAAATATGAGATCAATAAAGGGACTTCCCTGACTGTTAAATGGTCCGTAAATCCAACGTGTGTGGAGGATACAAATGACCTATATTTACCATGAGATTTTCCAGATTTGCAGTTTCCTCTGAAGCAATACGACTCTCATTGGCATCCATACGGATGACCAGACCGACACTCAAGAGAAATATGAGCAAAATCGTCACGCAAAAACGACCCGCCATGGCTGCTGTGAATCCTGGTCACTACTACTAGGCTATGTATTTCAAGTGACCGTTTGATACTTTAACCAGTAACATTTATCAGTTTGTGATTCAATAACGACTGTGTCCAGGCCCGTATATTACAGAATCATTGTTACAAATCAGAGCCGGAAAAATTTAATTTTGTCATGACCTGAGGCGTGACATTTTGTGATTTTATTGCTATATCCGTTTGGATGCAGTAAATTAAAAAAGCTAGAACACCTTTTGTCAAAATTTCGTTTAAATGCTGCAGTATATTGACCAACGTAATCACGAAAGTGAAGGATAACTTTTTATATTCAGCGTGTTATTAACTGAGAAAAAGCGCTGGTAGATTGAGGAAGACAACCCCAATTCGACAACACTTTAAATTAGTTTATGGGTATGTATATAAACTGCCGCAAACTGCTTGCTGACTTCAATGACCTAAAATACAAATCACAACCTGTGACGTTTCGATCCAAGCGGAATCTTTCTTCGAGAAAGACTCTGCTAGGATCGAAACGTCAGGCCCTCCATATTGTGTAATTTTAGGTACTTCACTGAGATATATATTGGTAATTCTATCTGGATGGTAATTACATTTGACTTAGCGACGAAACCAGCATTCTAAAATAATGAGGTTGTAACAATTAAGGCGCTGCCATGTTTAATGCCATCCCACAGTTATCACCAGAAATGGGAATAAATTTAGTTCTGTACTTTCGGGGCAATTTGGAAAACAAACTTCCATTAAAAAAATCACCCTGTAGATAAAGTAGTGAAGTACCATATATCATAAAGTAAAGGGAAATACGGTCACTCCCATCAAAGGAAAATACATTTTTACATCAAACAAAAACAGGGAATACTTTCAACTTATCTTCCAGCGGAAAGCTGCCTCATCCAAGTGTAGATAATAAAGGTGTATCATTAACAGCGGATAGACTACATTTCGTATTAATTTGACCACTGAAATTGAACTAAAAATGCTCAATACGTAGATGCAGGTGAATGAACCAAAGAAGATATTCAAAACACTCCGTTCGGATCAAAATCGATGCAGTCATTTGGTAAACATTCCTTGGGGTGGCCAACGCTTTCCACTATGTTGAGTTTCGCTGTCAAGGTGGCTGACATTAGACTCCTCACGAGTTGCATGCTTATCGAGGCTTATTTCGCGAACCGCATTCTAAGACAAGAAACGAACCAAACAAAACAAACGATTTATGATACGATTCTCCTTGGAGGTTTAACCAAAACTATCCTATTTGCTTGCTAAATATGAGTTAGCTGACACGGAAGGTCTTGAAACCCGAAGTTTAATCTGGATTCAAGTTTTACAGAAACTCTGAAAATGAGTTTATTTTGTGAAGATCAACTGGACAAGCACGATCTTCAAGGGGATGTTCCCAGTTGTTGAATGGTAAGAAAACCCGGCTCTTTTTACGGGGATGTAACGAAGTTATCTACCTCGAGATTCCTCGGATCCGCAGCTTCCTCTAAAGTGACGTCAGTCTCGTCAGCATCGGTACGGACGACCAGACCAACACTCACACGAATTATGACCGAAAGGCAAAAACGCCCTACTATGGCTGCTAAGAATCCTCGTCGTTTATACACGGAAACTACGATGTGAAGTCAACCTCGATGTTTCATGTAGTAACGATTTTCGTTGAGTGATCAAGAAACATTTATCTTCATGTTTTTTAATAACTTCCCGGTCGTAATATAACATCCGGGCCAATTAAGCAAACTGCAGCCTAATTTTAGGCTGAACCTTTTATGACTGTAACGTTTCATAATACATGTCTAATCTATTTGGCCAACTAAAAATGCGATTAATTTCATGCATGAATTCTGAGCCTGTCAAAGCAAAATCACCGCATTATTTCAGGAGTGACATTTTAAGTCGTACATCTTAGGCCTACACATGTTTAAATGTCATTGAATATGAAACATTGTACGACGGAGATTATCTGACTTTGTAGTTGAGCGATTTTATCATTCCATTATGCAACAGAGCTTCTCATTGCTCCGTCATATGAGATACAATCTGCCTTCATTTTATGTAAGTTTACGCTTAGACCGAGGTGGAGAACACTGAGAACGAGGAGTGGAGTAACACCAGATCGAGGTGGAGCATGCTATGAGCGAGAGCGGGAAAAAAAACAGAGGTTGAGAGAGCGGTAGACGGGAAAGGTGACCACGTGGGACAAAGTGTGTCATATGCATATTATGCTCATCTTGCACAAGAGACCGACTGTACGCTTTCCGAACGTAATATGCATGATGATGCACGTCGTTCTACGTGGTCCCCTGGTTCCGTCTGCCTTGGTTGAGTACAAAATAAGGAGTTCAGTATCACCTGACTGAAGGGGAAACGTCAGTTCACAAAGAAAGACCACATTCAAAATGAGACGTCCAGGAACACTATCTGATTTTTAAAGTCATACTTTAGTGTGACAATGAATAGCAATTCCATACGGAGGTTGCTAGCATTTGACTTTACAGCGTGAGTTACATTTTGATTGCAATAAACACTTACTAATAAATATGCATCACAGCAGGTGTGCATGTCCAATTAGTTTTTAAAATGTTTTTTAATTGAGCATTTGCCTTCAAATCAGATTGATTGACGCAATTATTCTCTGGCCTGTTTAATGTTAATCGAAACCCTCGTTAGAAATTACATGATTTGCGTTCTCGAACCTAAACCAGTGAGACTTTTGGCTAAAAATGAGTTATCATGCCTGTTAAATGTCAGCTCCCAACTCTTGACAGAAATGGCAAGTTTGGGGTCCATACACCGAAATCAAAACCAAGTTTAATAATAGAGATCTTCACAAAGAACTCCAAATTTACGCAGTTAAGATATTATGTTCCTAAAACTAAGGCAAACTTTCCTTATATCAGGAAATACAATTAAATAATAATGGAATAAAAATAAATTTAAATATGTTTTAAGAATCCGACTAATGTCTAATGCAATTGAAGGATCAAGGGTTAAATGGAGCAGCAAAGATATTGCAATGTACATCGTGTCCTGTATTTGAGTATTAATACTCGAAATCAAGTACAAGTCAATACATTTATTACTCTGCGTTGTGCTCCGGCGTGATTCCATATTTAGCTTGAAGCACGTGACCTCTTTAGTGCCCGCATCTCAGCCGTCTCTTGAACCTCGCTTCTGCGTAGAGGGTATTCCTTAAAACGGAGGTACTTAGATGCCTCCCGGTTAGCAGGTGCAAAATTGCGGTAGAGAAGCCAACCCTACAAGAGGGGGAAAGCAGAGGTTTTGTCATTACCCACAGAAAATCAAGTCACTGTAGACACCTGCTCAATGCACGCGGGTCGACACACGCAGGCTCATGAGCTAAGAGTGACCTCAACATTAAAACTATAATTGGACAGGAATCAATTCTGTACACCAACTATAAATCTGTTTTCGCACACGTTAGTTTCACAATGGCTGCATCCCAATGTTGTTGCCGTCCTTAAATATGAAAAAGAATTATTTACCTGTACATTTTTCAGCTTTGCGGTTTCCATTCGAGCGTAACTGCCCTCTTCTTCAACTTTTTTAGGGACAACAAGACCAACGCTCAGGAGGAATATGACAAGAAGTGTCAGGCTAAAACAATGCGCCATGGCTGCTGGGAAGCCTCGTTGTCTCCTCAAAATATGCTTTATTTCAGCCAATGCCTCAGCAAGTAAGAAGTATCAGTGATCACGCAACGTTCATGTTCCCATTTATGTACCCAGTTGTCAGAGTCATAGCGGGCAAGCTGGACACATAAATGTATATTTTTGCCCTCAGGTTGACATTTTAGGATTGAAATACTGTATCCTTTTGGAATAAAGTTCTAAACAAAAGGCGTAAATATGTGTTTTAATGTCACGGCAGATTACATGTAATAATGGGTTAATTTTCTATTGGGGAGGGCTTAAATTACCCTTTACAAAAATGCACTCCTCACGCCATCTGTTGTCAGCTGTTAGCTGCATTCAATCGTTTCTAATTGCGTTTTTCCCAGAGTTGGCAGAAATTCTGAGGACTTTCTTCAAAATCAACGGACAGATCTGTTCAGAGGAAGTTTCAAAACAGTGTCCCCTGTTGGACCCCACATTGTGGATTATGCTTTTTGCTGCACCTAAAGCGTAGTACACGTCTGGAAACAATTACCAGAACATGTCTAATTAACCAGTATTAATGATCCTGGAAAGTTTCTGGCTGCTAACATTTATCGTTGGAGTAGTGGTGGGTAATCAGGGCATATGAATCTCTACTATTCGCCTCATTTTCGGGTTGACATTTAAGGATTGAAATTGTTGTATCCTTTTGGAATAAAGTTTAATTCTGAAATGAATGCATAAAAATGTATTTTGATGTCACCACAGATTACATGTTATAACGTGGCAGGTTAATTTTAGGAAAGGGGGGTAGGGGGCTCATTTACATGATGAAACTGCACCGCTCTCGCCTTCTGTCAATAAATGTTGGCTACATTCAATCAATCTCAAAGTGATGTTGCTGTTTTACAGTGATATTTTATTTCACTCTGCAGATGATCAGATCAATGGAAACTACATTTTTAGTATCGGCAAGTGTAGAGTTCGAATATATCAAGAAAGCTCCATTCACCAGCATTTGAATGATATTGATAATTGTGCTTTTAAACTGATCAATTAAACTGGAGCAAGCACTGTCGTGACATTTACATTAAATCCATCAACATGTTAAGACTTATTAAACGAAATTTTAGTAATTGCTCAACTACCGTCTTGAAGAAACTGTATACATCTATTCCTCTCATTTGTTATAAACGGGTCGTCACCAATGGTTTTTCAGGCAACGGAGTCGCGAAAACCATTCGTTGTAACAGGAATTTCGTAGAATGCCATTTCGCTTTAACAGGTTTTTTCCCCATAGAGATGTGCACGTTTTAGCTGGGACCACGGACTTTTTTTTTTATAAACCGGAATTTCTTTATAGCCGATTTCGTAATAAAGAGAGTCGACTGTATTGCTCTCATCCAATCTCGAGTGGATTACATTTTATTGTTTTACATTTATTTTCGATTTCCATTTTCTTATTCACACTCACAGCCAAATTGGAGTCAAGTAAGTGTTCAAACAGAGCGATTTGCTTCTGGCTCTGATAAAGAATATGGGAGTTTCAAGTTAAAAGTCGTATGACTGTACTCCTGGTGTGTGTATGTGAGGACTCTTAGTCGGTATCACGTGACTTTTAAAACGGAATGATTTTAGACATAGATGGTGAACTCCATTTCAACTGAGCCTGACTCCGATTAGGCTATACTCTGCTTATAAACTTTGTGTTATTTTATTGTTTTTAAGTTAGTTGTCTTAAATCGTACTTTTTCCGGGAAGTTGTTCAGCATGGACTGTACAGTCTTTGCCTAATCCCTTGACATTGTCAGACATTGATAACTAAGTGCATGGCGGGTTTCTCGGAGAGTCGATAAAAATCGAAATGTGGGTATGAATAATCGCTGTGGACACTGCGCAGATCAGTTGAATGGGGTGGCCTTATCAAGCAGACACTGTCAACTGTCTGCTTAGTGCCCAGGGATATTGTAACGGCCCATAAAACTCTTGAGGGCCTTCTTCAAGACCAAATGATGGAGCGGTTTATATAGAGAATTGTCAAACGGGTGTCTCTTGTTGGAGCGATGTGGTTAAAGGCGAAGGGGCCAGGGGCGGGGTGGAAATAGGGCAGATTGTCTGTAAAGCGGAGGAACACAATAAAACGCAGTGCATTCGAATTCACCCAACTAGCAGGCACAGTACGCAATGTGTATCAAGGGCCCACGAAAAAAATAGGGGGGGGGGCCTAAAGAAAACGAAGAGTGGAGAAACAATAGACCGAGTGGAAGAGGCTTAGAGCGAGGAGTTGAAAAATAGCCAGAGGTTATGTGAAGACATTATACGGGGAGTTAACGCGGGGGGGGAAGACATCAGTTAACAAGGAAAGACTGCATTTAAAATGAGAAGTCTAGGAACGCGATCTGATTCGTTTGAGGAATATTTTAATGTGACAATGAATGGTAATCCCATACAGAGGTTGATGACATTGACTTAAATAGCGTGAATTACATCTGATTGCCAGTAACACTGACTAACAAATATATTACAGCAGATGTGATTGCGTAAGTCCTTTCCAGAACTTTTTGAAATGAGCATTAGCCTTCAAATCAGATTGATGTAACGAATTTTCTGGCCCGTTTAATGCCAACCACCAGCTGTCCCCCGAAATGTCACGTTTTTCGTTCTACACGCTTCAATAATAGCCAAATTGGAACTAGTCCTCGCAATGAACTCAAGGTTTAAATTAAGCCAACTTCATCTCAACGAGAAATCCAATTACAATAATAATGGAATAAAAATAAATTTGACATCTTTCAAGAATCGGGCTACTGCAACTGTAGGATCCAGGGTTACGTGCAGCAGCAGAAATATTGCAGTGTACTTGGTTACTGTATGTTAGTACGTAAACACTAATCGAGTACAAGTCAATACACTTATTACTCTGCGTTGTGCTCCTGATATTTAATTTGAAACACTAGACCGCTTCTTTGATGCCAGCATCTCATCCGTCTTTGGAACCCTCCTTCTGCGCTTAGCGACATCATCCCGCATGAAGCCCTTTGATGACTCCAAGTTAGCAGGTTCAAAACCGCGGAGGCGATTCTCAAGCTGCAAAGAGGGGGGAGACAAAGATTCTGTCGATATTTTACCAGTGAAAATCCACTCACAGTGGACACCTCAGTTCTGTTGAGCTGTTCAATGCACGCGGGTCAACACGCGCGGGCTCAGGAGCTAAAAGTGACCCCAATATCCAAATCATAATTAGACAGGAATCAAACTTTTCACCAACTTTGAATTTGTTTTTGTTGACATCAGATTTCAAAGTGGCTGAGTTTAAGACGGCAGTAGGGATCGTTAAAAGATCTCCTAATGGTTTAATCCAAAAATAAAAAGGTCTTCTATAAAATAAATGAGGAACAATTATTTACCTGGAGATTTTTCAGCTTTACGGTTTCCATTCGAGCGTAACTGCCCTCTTCTTCAACTTTTTTAGGGACAACAAGACCGACGCCCAGGAGGAATATGGCAAGAACTGTCAGGCTAAAACAATGCGCCATGGCTGCTGGGAAGCCTCGTTGTCTCCTCAAAATATGCTTTATTTCAGCCAGTGCCTCAGCAAGTAAGAAGTATCAGTGATCACGCAACGTTCATGTTCACATTTATATACCTACTCGTCGGAGTCGTAGTGGGCAAGCAGGACACATAAATGCATATTCTTGCGTCATTTGGGGATTGACATTTTAGGATTGAAATGCTGTACTCTTTGGGATAAAGGTTAATTCTGTACAGAAGGCGTGCAAATGCGTTTTTAATTTCACGGCAGATCACTATGTAATAAATTCTCAGGTTAATTGCCCCTTTGTTCTTTCTTTCTTTTTTTGGAAGTTGGGGTTAGATTCACGTTACGAAACTGCGCTGCTGAAACCTTCTGTCATCAGATGTTGGCTGCATTCAATCAATGTCGAAGTCATATCGCTATTTTACAGTCTGATTTAAACCTCACTCTGCAGGTGGTCAGATCAATGGAAACCATCTTTTAATGTTGGTAAGTGTAAAATTATGAATTAAGAAAGCTCATCATTCCCAGCATTTATACCATATTGATAACAATGTATTATCTAATACTGACTACTACTTGTGAAAATATTGAGGAAATGTGTTAACTGATAAATTGAATTGGAGCGAGCACTGTTATAACATATACATGAAGTCTATCAACATGTTAGGACTTGTTAAACGAAATTTTAGTCATTCCTCAAACTACCACCTTGAAGAATCGGTATATTTCTCTCATCCGATCTTGATCAGATTACTCACGCATAGCTTGGGATCCTTTAAGACTAAACCATTCTCACGTAATAGAACGTGGTTTTATCTGCAGAGATTGGCACACAAACTACAACACTGTAGTTAATCGTTTATGCAAAATGATAAAAGTCTCAAACGTTACCTACCTTTTGCCCGTATTGATTGTTTAATTAATTCAGATATTCGTTTTCATTTGTAGGTCTACCGAGTGGAATAGTCTTCCCGAATACGTTGTTTAAAAAATTTTGTCATTCATTTATACATTTTATTTTGATCTTCATTTTCTTAACCTTTGTGTTATTATATCTGTAATTTTATCTTAAATTGTACTTTTTAATACGGAGAGTGGCTAAGGATGGATCGTACAGTCTTCGTCATAACCTTTGGCATTGTCAGAAATTGATAGATAAATAGCACTAAATGAGTTTCTCGGAGAGTTGGAAAAGTTGGCTTGTGCGTACTCGCTATCAAAACAATGATTATTCGTGCGCATGATTCAAACGCTTGAAGTGTGCGCGTGAATAATCGTTGTAGCCACTGCGTAGGTCAGTTGAATGTGGTAGATTTATCCAGCAGACATTGTCAGCGCTGTCCTCAGTACTAAAGGATATTGTAATGACCCACGAAAACTTTGAGGGCCTTCTTCAAAACCAATTGACGGAGCAACTTATAGAGAGAGTGGTCAAACGATTGTCTATTTTTAGAGCAATGTGGTTGAAGGCGAAGCGGTCAGGAGCGAGGTTGAAGTAGGGCGCAGTGACTGTAAAGCGAAGGAACAATATGAAACCCAATGCGTTCGAATTTACCCAACTAGCAGACACAGTAGGGAAAGTGTGTCAAGGGCCCACGAAAAATATTGGACGAGACTTGGAGCGAGGAATGAAAAAACAGCCAGAGGTTGAGTGAACATTACAGTGAGTTAACGCGGGGGTAGACATCAATTAACAAGGAAAGACTGCATTCAAAGAGAACTCGAGGAACGCGAACCGATTCGTTTGACGAATGGTTTACTGTGACGATGAATGGTAACTCTATGCTGAGGTTGATGACATTTGACTTTACAGCGTGAATTACGTTCTGATTGCTAATAACACTGACTAGTCAGGTGTGAATGTGTAAGTCCTTTCCAGAACCTTTTCAAAATGAGCATTGGTCTTCAAATCAGATTGATGTAACGAATTTTCTGGCCCGTTTAATGCCAACCACCAGCTGTTCCAAGAAATGCCATGTTTTTCGCTCTGTACGCTCCATAAAAGCCCATTTGTAATGACCAGGTCTCTGCAATGAACTAAGATTTACGCATTTGAAGAATAATGTTTCTTCAGTTAAGGCAAATTCATCTCAACAGGAAATCCAATCACAATCACAATGGAATAAAACTTAATTCAATATGTTTCAAGAATCGGACTTATGATGTCTGTTGCAATTGTAGGATCCAGGGTTAAATGGAGCAGCAGAGATATTGCAATGTACATTGTCAAACAGTCCTCGAAGCACGTAGTCCCTTCTTTGTTCGCAGCATCCTATCCGTCTCTTGAATTGCGTAACTACTCTCTTCAACTTCTGCACGGTCGGCAAGACCGACACTCAGGAGAAATATCAATAAAACCGGCTAAAATATCCCGCCATGGCTGCAGGAAATCCGGGTCGTCTCCTCCAAATATGCTTTATTTCACCCAATGCCTCAAAGTAAGACGTATCAGTGGTCATGCAACGTACATGCTCACATGTATAAACCTAATCGTCGAAGTCATAGTGGGCAATCTGGACACATAAATGTATATTTTTGGCTCATTTTGGGGTTGACATTTTAGGATTGAAATACGGTACCCTTTTGAAATAAAGTTTCATTCGGAACAGCAGGTGTGGACTTGTCTTTGTAATGTCACTGGAGATTTCGGGAGACCTTAACAGGAAACCGCACTGCTCAATCCTCCTGTCATTAGATGTTGGCTGCCTCCAATCAATTTCAAATAACGTTTCACGGAGAGTTGGCAAAAATTGGCCTGTGCTTCTATACTTGACATCAAAACAACAACCACTTCTTGAAATGTGCATACTTCACATAATGATTTATTCATGCGCGCACTTAAAACACTCGAAGTGTGCGCATGAATAATCTTTGTGGTCACTGCGCAGGTCAGTTGAATGGGGTAGGCCTATGTAGCAGGCAATTTAGGTGCTGTGATCAGGACCCATGGATATTATGATTACCCATGAAAACACCGAGGGCCTCTCACAAATGACAGAGCTACTTATAGAGAGTTGCTACACCAATGTCTCAATTATTGGAGCCAACACGGTGGTTTATGCGTCAATGCACGTGGAGAATTTGCACACAATAGGTGCATGCTGTTGCACACGTAATGAACAGCCATTTTGATTCCAAAGTCTGGATTTGGTGGTATTCGATGCACGTATGGCTCTGCCAACTAAGGGCTAGCCATAAAATAAACCTGAAACCTCTTTTAATTTATGGCTTTGACAAATTTCAAATGAACTGGTTGGTTATGCAAATTTGAATATGCAATATAATTTAGGAAATTATTATCTTTGTAGATTGTGATTGCAGTTTATGTTACTTTAATGCAATCTTGTTGTTTTGTTATTGATTGTGACTGTAATATTGATGAATGCAATAACTTACAGTTTGTAACAAGCCGATGGAAAGCAAATTTCTATGTGAATTTTTGCATGGGCAATAATACATTTGAATCTTGCAACTTATACGTGTAGCGTAATGCACGTCTTGAAACAGTAATATGTAGCGCCCTGAAAATTGCTTGTAGTGCCTTGTTTGACGAAAATTCCAGAGACGATTGATAGAAGGTGCCATTGCAACACTAGACCTGAAGCCTAATGGTAAGTACAGTCATTTGCAAAAGTTTAGGGTCACCCCTAGAAAATGCATTAACCTGAAAGAAAACCGAATCAATCATGGCAACTTATGTTTATTTTCAGCGTTATTTGTAACGTTGGTACCTTGGTTGAACATTTTTGACTACATTTCCATGATTTGAAATGTTAACAGTCCAATATTCAGTTTTCCCTCCTTTATTTCTGATTGCTTAGACTGGCTTTCTTTTACCCATGCTGCCTTACAGACAAAATGTCATACAAGACCTGCCTTTGCAAAAAAGTTCGTTTAAATGGGTATATAGCACTACACTGATGTTATGCACCACTGTAAAACATGATAAGTAATCATTCAATGAGACAGTGTAATGCAGGCCCAATGACAGAAATACCAATAAAATTCCAGGTGGTCTTAAACTTTTGGACATGACTGTAATAACTGTTTGCCCAGACATTATAACGCGAAATCACGATATCTGTTCAGTAAATATAGGAAGAGGAATACCAAATCAGTACAAGTTGAGTACTCAACACAGTGTTGGTAATGAGAATGATGGTAAGTACTCATCAGGAAACAGCCACGGACGGCAGGAAACCAACGTTTTTCCTCAGTATTGAAGTGTCAATACTAATATTGCATAACCGCCTTTCTTATCAAAGGAATTGAAGAATTCAATTACCGGTACAAAATGTATAGGCATCTGTATAGAGAAACAAAATTTCCATCCCAATGTCTCGCCACTTGTTGGACACGCGACGAGGGCGCGCCTGTTATTGTTATGCGTTATCATTGGGCCCGTAATTAGTATACCGCAAACTTTCTCAGCGTTTGAATACAATCCATGCCAGCCATTGCTGGTGTAAAACTGCTAGCTAATTAAACATAATACAGTAAAAGTTGAGTGACTTACTCACATGTTGCAAGTTAATCAAGTCGCTGCATGTAACTAGCTACTGAATTACAATTTCCAGATATTAGCAACAAAGAAGCATTACCTGGTGAGACACAATACTGTGAGCGACCCTGTTACATGTTGCAACGGTTTATGAGGTCACAGCATGAACACGGGCCCAGATCCTTGGTATGCCTTCCAACCATTCACTTATTATGTGTATAAAACTGACCAAGAGTTAAACTTAAAACAAATCCTGGACGCTAAATAGGCAACAGAGGGCAGAAATTGAATCGATCAGTACATGCAAAACTGGGTTGAGAAGGTAATTGTACCAACCAGCCTGGCGAGGATAATGGACAGCCAAACTTGCCAAAGCCCCAAAGAGCTAATACCTTTCTTTCTTTCTTTTCTTTAACAGCTGATTTAGGATTGGCCAAAGGGCTTTGGCCCGTTTGGATCGAACTGCCTGATGTATTTTATAGTTGTCCGCATATATTTTTCTGGGACACTTTGACAGGTGTACATTTCATGCAACACTGATAACGTGGAGCTGTTGATTTCATCATCGCGTCGTGAGTCGTAAAATGAGAAGCTCAAAATTGGTTACTGAGCTGCGTAAACGTGTCAGGATGAAGATCGAATCCACAAATAATCTTCTAAACTCAGCCTTATTGCAAAATTAATATCGTCCAGATGCATGCATTCGAAACACGGACTAAACGATTCGTAGAAAATAGGTCACTGAAATGCTGTTTCCCAAAGTAATATTGCTCTTTCTCTCAACCAAAGGATTCTGCATTGGAAATTTATATAGGCGGCTTGCTTTTCAACCAGGTTTGCCAAATGTTTCTTGGGCGAGATTTCAAGCAGAAATTCTGCAAACCCTTTGCCGGTGTCTTCAACTTTAACGGTGTATTTGCATGGCAGTTAGGGAAAGGGGACGCTTACCCCCTGCAAAGATGAAACGAAAAAGGGAAGAAAATGCAGAAGAAATAAAAAGGTATCAAATCTACAATTTGCAGAAGCACTACAAACAAAGAAAAGGTCAAGAATAGGGATGGAACCGCCATTCTGAGGAAAAACAACAGATATTTGAAAAAAAAAATAACAAGAGCAAAAGACATGAATGTAGGTGAAACAGCAAATTTACCAAAAAACGTGACCGCTCTACAACACTGAATAGTTCATTGATTCGGTACTGATGAGTGGCTCACTATTCGCAGAAAACTTTCCGCTGATTAAAGTTGTTCCTCCCCGGTCCCAACCCCCGTAATTTACTAGCGACATTCTTGACGCTCCTTTCATAGAAATCTCTGTAAGGCTTCTAAAATGTATCGCTTTGCCATGGCTACCGTCACTACAGTGGATAGCATCGTATTTTAAACAGGGCTTTGACCTCGTCGAAGAATAAAAGAATGATACTACAATGGAGTGGGTTTGTTACATGCGTTCAGGGAAATCTGAAATCACTCCTTTTTGTTTTTGTTGTATAAGTTTGTAAATTAAGTAAAAAAGACTGAGGAAATGGTTTTCGATTCTGACTTAATTCCTCAAAGTTCTCAGGTAAAGAAAACTACTTAAGGGCATGCATGGTGCCCTCACGGGCGACTTGGTTATTGCCTGTATGGAGGGCGCTCTGGTAAAATTATGTTGCCCATCGGTTGTAAGAATCTATCATGTGTTAATAGTTTGTGGCCAGGGATTACTCGGGATGACATAGTGCGCATCAGTTGAATTGGACTTTCTCTGTGATTTGTGAATATAGTAAAACGTGACATCTGTCGTTCCCCAACAGTGGATTTTTTAACACGGTCGGTTAAACTTCCCCGCGCTCAAGTCGTCTTTCACGTTCGTTGGCAGAGACACAGAGATGTAGCTGTCGCAAGAGCCAGCCTGGATCCGGTAGTTGCTGCTAAAGTCGCCCAATGGTCCTGTGGAAATGATTCCCAAGATAGAGCACGTAGAGCATGACGATTTATTGAGAGAGGGTCGGTTGCTTGGAGAAAAAGGAGCCGGGCGAAGGGCTTACTAGTGTTCCAAAATAATCTTTACATTATCACTTTCTTGGTAAGAAGTTTCGGACAGGGTGAATTATAAGGCAGTTTTGTTTTCCTGGTGAGAAATTCCAAACAGGGTTGTCGACATAAAAAAGATTTCCCCCTCTGTCTGAGTCACAAGTGATATTGCCAAATTTTCCCTCCAAAAAAAAAAAATACAGTGCTAAAGAATTATTCTGAACCACCGTTTCATTGGACATAGTTCATGTTAGCTCAAGGTCTTTGTTACTGTGAAGCTAGTGCCGCGTCATCTACTTTAAAATTCCAGACCATTTATAAAATCAGAATCTACCAACGTTTAGCCTTAAACTTGGGCTCATTTGGAGCAGAGCCTCAAAGTACAAGTTACCTTCAAGTGTAGAATAGTTGGCCTAATTAGATACAGTCTACACGGCAGTTCATGTTGGCCTTGTTTCCAACACTTGTAGATCGGATTGCAGAGTAGTAGCCTCGTTCAAAGTGGTAGAAAGTGCAACACAGCTGTGCCACGGCGCTGTATAGCTATAAAGATATCACTATTGATCTACAAAATCTTGAGCAAAGACTAGTTACTCACCCACTGCGAAATACGCGGTGAATCCTGGGCGCATCTTCTGAACCGGACATATGTATTCATGTAGTATGGTGTGAAGCGTAACCACTGCGCCCTCATGCACGAAGCGGCTGTTCTCCGATCTGTAGACGGTCGTTACTTCCACGGCGTAATCAACAAAACCCTTGTCGCTTTCCTTGTGAGCGGCCCGCACCGTGCCGTAGAAAACTTGGGAGGAAGGAGGGAAGACCGTAGAGGATTTCATTAGCTATAAAGCCTTACCAGGCGAAATCAACTGATTTCGGAAAAGATTTTTGAGAGATTGAGTAATCGCAGATCCTGCCTTTTTGTTTGAGACTGGAGCAACTCCTTGCTGCACAACTTTCAAGTAAATAATTTACACAGATGCTTGAAGGAGCAACTGTGCAGAATGTGAAAGAATAAACGTATTGACCTTTCAAGCTGTATACTGAAAAAAAACTGCATAAATTGTCAACAAAGTTGTAGCAAGTTGTACTTAATTGCTGAAAAAAAATTGCCAGCACTTTCAAATGTGACCTATGGGACTATGCTGTACCAGTAAACCTTGCTCATTTGATCACTCCATACAAATAGTTTAAAACAAAGCCATTTTCAACATGCAGATTGCCTTTCGTCCCGATTTCCTTTCGGAGTCAACTGGTTCGCTTCACTTTATAGTTGATAAATTGCAACACACCCCTCATTATTACAGGATAGCTGCAATAGATTTTTGTGATCACAAACCTCCAAAATACACCTTTGTGTCTCAGTTAACCTTATTTTGAACTTTTATTTCATTATTTCATTATTTTATGCTAAAGCGTATTTCCATATTCATGAGCCAAATTCTGTTGTCATCTCAGGAAGAAGCCTCGATGTAACATGGTCTGTACACCAAAATATCCTCCACTTTTGCAGATTTTGCTGGACTCCTTTTTCTTTTCTTTTTCTTTGCTGATTTGTTGTTGTTCATTTGCAGAGCAATAAGAAAACATCAATCCCTCACTCAGAAAGATTTTCAGCTTGCGTAAATTGTCCCACATACAGTAAACACGTGTTCGAAGGTGTTCGTCACCGTTCGTCTGTGTAAAGCAACCTTTACTGAAATGTAGTGATTACCCTCAGTCATAGACAAAAACAGCATAGAGGTCCTTACTGTTTACGAAGCGGCTATCACAGAGCGTGGAGTGGGTGTCTGGCCAAGAACAGCTGTATGAGCATCTTCTAGCTGAAGAACGGCATGCCAGACCCAGCACTACCAGCAGGACGAGCAACACGGATTTGACTCCCATGTTGAGGTAATGTATCTCAGGATCAGGCAAGTCGAAGTGAAATCTCCAAAACCTTCAAAGAACGAAGAGTAAAGGGACCAATAATTGGTCCAGCATTCTTGGATGCTCTTTGTTCTGTTTGTCAGTTCCGTAAAAAAAAAAATACATCTTGAAAGTAGTTCCGTAAGTCTTTTACCCCTTTAATGTTGTCATTTTCTATCCAACTGTTTGGTCAGAAGCGACCCCTGACGAATACAGAGAGCCTTATTCTTTATTATATAAAGTCTACAGTAGATTTGTGCAGTTTATACCCAGGCGTTCTCCGTCCCCTAGACGCAGACAGAAAGCTTGCACATGCGTTGTGTCGCTTGCAGGAAACTTTGACTGTTAGTGCTCATGATGTGGTGAAACCAGTCACTGCTTTGATAGAGTTTCAGAGCAGGTTGATCGGAAGCCCGACCGATAGGATATGCAGACTTACCCCTAAACATGGATTTCTCCCGTTAAATATGCGCCCATGGAGTTTGAATCTTGCAACTATATCGTGAGAACATAGCTACTGTTCTTCCTAATAATTGTAACAAAGGGCTAGCTATTGCATTTCATAATTCACTTCAAAGTCCATGTAGGGAAAGGTTAACTTTTTTGAGATTGAAAAGGAATCAGCCAAGATATAAATAAACCATTATATCAAGAAGAGAGGACTTAATGAGAATGACGGCTTCATAGTGTTGTATCTTACCTGGCAACGTTGGGAGACCGAAATGCTGTGCCCCTGCGAATCTGTCAGCAGAAAAGCACCTGTTGCGATCTGGGGCCGGTTTATATAAGATTAGTGCCAACTAGCCAAATCCAGATGGAAAGTCAATATATCGAGCAGAGGATATTTGAGACTTTTAATAACAGATTTTACCATTTGTGTCTGGCGCGCGCGTGAAATGCAACACTCCATTTGGCTATCGGTTTCAAAGTGAGGACGCCGATGACAGACTTTCTAAAGCTGGAATATAAGTTTGGCCCTGAAAACAGAATATGTTGGGCCTTGTTTTTGTGATTCATGATACACATAGCCGATCTTACTTGAACGGGATGTTAACTTGACCATCAGGCTTCCGGGATATATTGAACTACGAAGGACAGAACATTTGTGCCCGCTAAATCACGTGACCTATGGTGGGTATCAACCCCCATAGCAACGTGTATTTTGAGTGTTCTTTACAAACAACACAGCCAAGTTAGGGTTAAGTGCCATGTACATCAGTACTTGGAGTGAAGTACCTACCTTCGGCTTTACTTTTGGTAAATAATACTTATGAGACATTTTGCTTTTAGGAAGCTGTTTTTTTTTGGGGGGGGTGATATTTGGGTGCTCACTTTAGGTCACGTGACACGTGACTTAGCTGTCTATTGATGCTGCGCGAGAATGATATTTTCTATTTTCACAAAATCAGTATCAAAATTACCAAAACGAGTTGGTAGAAAGTCCTGAAGGCTAAGTTTCTGAAACGAGAATGTACTGTGTGAGGCGATTTCAGAAAATGTCGACGAGGTGGACTCCGCTCGGTTAGTCGTTTGTTTAGCTTTTTGAGGCCTGACAAAAACTGATATTCTCATCACCTTCAAGCTTCCGTGATTTTTAATAACGTTGCCTCAAACGATTTACCAGCGATATGTGTGATTCAATCCAAAGTAAAACAAAATGAGAATAAAACAAGGCCAAGTCGTCGAGCGATCTCAAATCGGGCCTTGAGTAAGGAGTAGGGTCGGCGTACAATATCATCTATACAGCGTAAACAGATACATTTAATACTGCAATACATGCAAGTTCGGCGGCTATATGAAATTAATTGGGCAATTATAGTGCCAAAAACACGTTGGCAGCTCTGTGATACGAAAACTTCAATGAATGAGTCTTCACAAACACAAGGATTGTCGTCATTCGCAGACTCGATTTTGGTTTCTCCCATCTTTTCTGTCTCATTTCAATATATTTCTTTCCTTGATCGTTAATGAACCTAAACACTGCCCCAAAACAGGCTTAATGGTTGTTACACGACTTTTCACAATACCGCAAGATCAGCGTGCCCTGGGACTTACTGGGGATATGGTAGGTTTTACAGGATAGATAAAACGATTACTACAAATTTTAAATGTATTCTCAAAAAAAAACAACAACAATAACAACAACACACACACACACACCAAGAAACAGCCTCGCTACCGGTGTATTCACATTTATTGAGCTCAGGAAAAAAAATAGGCATAAGTATGTTGGCCTCTTTTCGTTATAAATATAGACGTTAGACTATCAGTGGGTAATCAGCGGAGAAGCAATTACCCAAAGGCGTTATCACAACGAAAAATGTTATTCTTACGACTGGTCGGAATTGTTGGATGGGCTGTGAAGATGGGCTGTGTATGTAATGCCACGGAAACCCAAAAATCTAAGTTCAATAATACATATGTTGTGTTCAAAAACTGTTCCTTAAAAAAAATTACTAAAACGAAAAGTTACACTTTCACTGCACTCTGCTAGACGACAACACTATCGTAGTAGATGTGCGTATCTAGTCTGTGTAATTACCGAATGGGTTACAAACACTGCAGTGCAATTGAGCTGTACGACGTTTGTACAAGCGCGCGTGATATGGGAGAATAAGCTTTTCACGAGTTAATTTTGAATGAAATCAGGTATGTACGCTGAGTGATCTGATTGGTTAACATAACAATTTGAATTCCACCGAGTAAAGACACTGTTGCTGTACTTTGTGATTCGTTGTAAAGTTCAGCATAGCGACTACCATCCTGTAGACTGGATCCCGGGCGCCCTTTTTATCCACTGAAAATAGTACACTAGTTTGAAGCTGGGCTTCTCTTGTGTAACTAAGAAAAAGCTAATTGCTCCAAATCACGAGGAATAACAGCAGTATCTAAATTGTTATGTTAATGTAAATTTAAAGAACTCGTCCTTTTTTCCAATTTAACTAGAAAAAAGGTTGAAGATTGACTTCGTGCACATAACAATTTTAAATTATACCTGGACTTTGATTTACCCAGTGTTTAAAACGGAGGTTCCTTATTACATTTGCTTTTTTTGTGCAAATAAAACTGGTGTTCTTATCATTTCTCTGTAGAGCAAGTGAGAAATGATCCATGTGAGAATGAGCTGTCTGACAGAGAGAATAACAGTCCAACTGAAGTCAAAGCTGAAGGGATGCAAGGCAGTCGAATTCAAGTTGATGCAAACACCGTAGATGGTACAAGCACCAGCTTCACCAGATTCACCGGTGTTTCCAGTGAAGCAGCAACCTTTGACCACTAGTCTGGAGAGGTTCAGGCTGATCGGCGAGTCCGTCATCTCTACTCTCAGCAAAAGCTAAGCCAATGTCAGGAGGTGCCTCTGACCACCTGCTCGATCGCCGTCGAGATATCAACGCATCAACAGAGGCCTGGCAGTAGGGGTAAACTGAAGTCACACAGCACGATAGTCCATCGTGTCGGGAACACTTCGAAAATCAAACCTGCCTCCCGCCTCAAGTCCACTCAACTTCCACGAGGGGATTTTGACACGACTCAGAAAATACTCCAATCTCAAACGGTGAAAAAAACGTCCAAATTCCACGCCCAAGGCATCAGAAATCAGCCACCGCGTGTTTGTAAAGAGAGCAACACGGAAGAGACAAATGACTCACTTCATTTCTAATGCAGCTGCAGGAAGAAGCCAGTGCTATACAGGCAATCGTTGTGGGGCCACATTTCATTGGCAAGCAGCGGGTGCGGGGCCACATTTCATAGGCAAGCAGCGCTTACTGCCCACAAGAAAGGACACTTAAACTATCCAGTTCGTGGTACTTCTTTTAAAACAGAGGAGGAACGCGTGGATCGTCAGCAAACTCACGCTGACATAACTCCACCGAGTCACTCCACAAAAACCAGAAAAGCAACAGTAGTGCCTCCAGACATGGAAGGTGATGGATCTTGCACCAGCCAATACCATACAACATCTTTCCTTCACACTGATGGACTTCAGCTACATTCTGATAAAGTCCAGACGTCGGAAAAAGTATCAATTCATCGTAGGACATGTTTGGAAAGTGTCTGGAGAGCTGATCCAAAGGGACAACCGAAGGTTGCACGCCCTCAAGGACCGGCAGCACTGAGCAGAGATACCTTGAAGGAGCACGTGCGACGACGCGGTGTGGAACAGCATCCCACCAAAACATCCCCTTCACCCAAGACAGACATAGGACACGTCATCGAGTTATCGAGCGAGGAGGAGTCAGACCTCACTGATGAAGAAGATGGAGTTTGGTCTTTTAGTAATTCACCGAGGGATCGTCCATCTTGGTCCGACTCGAACAGTCGGTGCAAATTCTGTGGGAGACGTCTTTTGCCAGCAATCGGCTTCGTGAGAACGACAACGGTCACATCAAAACTAAGCAGTCCTTCACGTGTCTGGCATGCAATGAGGTCCATTTCTCAGCGGGCACCTTGAAACAACATTTGCAAGTACATGCAAATGAAGCTCTAAAGGTAGCTACGAGGGCGAAAGTTCCTCGGGAAAAAGATTGGCGCCGAATGCCAGCACTGCGACAGAAACAGCACAAGATCAATGATGATACTCTGTAGTTCCCATCGTTCAAACGAGGCTGTTGACCAAGACCGAGAGATCGATTATTCGTCAACCCAGAGAACCTGTCTTTACTGATGAGTTCACTTGTTCAGAAATTGTTGGTGACGATGCTATCGCGAGACCATAAAGTGGGTCCACATGCAAGTCTGTATATAGCCACAAAAAGTTTAACCTTCTGGTAGTTAAATACGTAAAATGCTTTTGGGCTTAAATTTTTATACATCTGTTTGAAGAGATGGTTTCTATTTTTTTTTCAAAATTTCGTCTTGTTTTGCGCTTCATGTTTATCAGTATGTTTAACATTTTCCCCTTACATCCGATAGTATGTTTACCCCTCTGGGAAGCTCCCTAGTGAGTATTACTCACCACATTTTATTATTTTGTGAATAACTTTTTAAAGTTTTTGTTGAATTCAAGGGACTTGGCAATTTTGAAGCCCATTGGTAATTAGAGGATTACCTGGAATTTCAGCTTAACCTAGCTTTATCCACAGCAGAGTACGGCCTGTTGAAAGATCAGCATCCCCAAGGCGCCCATATGACGGGGAAATGACCTGGTGGTAAAAAATGTCCACCTCGGTGCTCGAAGTTATGTGGGGCGTGGCTACTTCCACAGCAGCAGAATGAAATGTAGTAAAAGAGGGGAGCTGAGGGATATATTTGCTACCATAAAACAGCCGTTGTCGGCGCGGCTGGCATGTAATTGACCTCTTTATTTTTCTTGATTTTTAATCATTTTTCCCATCTTTTTTAATTCACTCAGAATAATCTTCAAAATTTGAAGGCGTTCTGTGTGTTCTAAAGGAAACACAATTATTATAAGAAAGTAATGGTTAGTTTGTAATACAAAGTGAGCTTTAAGTTGCCCTTAAAAGATGTAATAACGGAAGGGTGTCGAAATGTGTAGGTTAACAAAATGATCTTGTTTAATATCAGCTGCGTCTCATACTGAACGCTTTCAGCAGTGACCAGAATTGACACTGCTTTGACTAGGAATTAATGGGTCATCTATTGTCATCATCTTCACGAGCATACAAATTGTATGCTGGGGGAGGGGGTTAACTGGTTGCGTACACTCTAGAAGCATGTTAAAAATAAAAATTATAATAGACCGGCCATGGTGCTTCCCGCCGCTATTTATGTGCGCAGTCGGGTCGTAATTTCAACTCCTGTTGCAGCGTGCACACGTGCAGGCTGTTTCACAATCGATTAACAACGATGGATGATACGAGTGTACATAATCCTCTGAAAAGAAACTGGCCCAGTAAAACCCTAGCGTGTTCGGGCTTACAAAACTTGAAACAATGGATAGTTTTGCACAATTAACATCAATAATTTTCAAAGACAGATATGATTTTTTTTAATGGAAAAGAAGTTAGCTCTCAAACATTAAGTCTCGAAAATGAACAAGGACGCCGCCATTGCATGTTGCTTGCATGATAACCGGTTGTTCGTTCCCAGCGTTCGAGCAGCCGACCCACGAACACTTCGAGCTGTTACTGAACATAGGACAACAAGCCGCCCGAACTCAAGGAGGTGGTGTGTGATCCTGTCCCAAGAACAGTGTTCTTGAATCGTATTCCTGCCGATCGAGTACGAAAACAGGAAACCCGGGCCAAGAACAGTCCGCCTGACCTCGACCAAAGCCTTTATTTTCACCTTTTCTCTAGGAAAAAGTCGATCATGGGGTCAAAAGAGGGGGCTATTGAATTTTTTAAACAAACTTCTTACATAACCTTAGAGGGCGCCATACTAAAAAATGCACCCCGTTTGATATAGTCATGGGGGCGCTGTTGCCTATTATAAGTTAGCGTTGGTCAAACTGCTAGCCAACAGAGGGCGCTATTAAGATTAGCCACCTCATTGTTTTGTTTTGTAGAGGGCGCTAATCATTTTGCCAACTGAGGGCAGTGAATATTAACTCTACAGAGGGCGCTGTCATTTTTTTCAATAGAGGGCGCTAATTATTGGTAACTTAAAATATTTGTCAATAGAGGGCGTTACTGGTTTGTTCCGCGGTGCCGGTGCGACACGACATGCGCGCTAAATGGGAAAACAGGGCACGACAAGCATGACGAGATTTGGAATGTTCTTTGGATTTTAAAGGTAGGTTAATTGTCCAAATGCGAAAGGATTTGTACGGAATCATGCAAATACGTTCAGCTAATGGAATTTTTAAAGTTTCCATGATTGACATATCAGTTGTAATCCCGGGACTAGCGGGACTTAGCGGGGAAGACAGTGTGGCACGGACTCTCACTCCCGATCCATCCTTAGCCACACATCCGTATGCGCAATTTCGTGTCGGCGTATTGAACATTTCGGCGTACCCACTTATATATATCATCGTGGGCGCAATTTCTTCTGCACACGAACATGATTCTTGATCTTTCCGCTTTCTAAAAATTGAATGATTTCAGTCACGTTATTGAGGTATTTTCTAGTCTTTTTGCCTTAATCCATTCAATCTAATGGGCTCGCTCTCACAGTCGCCATCTTTAAAATAAGGTCGTTGAACATTAAGTCACTTGACCCCTCATCGTCTCGACGGCTCTTCCATGTCAAGACATCTAAACTGCTGCCAAAGTTTTGGAAGAGCCCATTGGTATCAGTCCGTTTATTACATATATGTCTTGAAACAGGGCCAGCGTGATAGTCCCGGCCAAAACTCCGTAATTTGCCCAGCCAGGGCGTGGCACCCTTTTTTGTATTCCCTGGCTGATCCCCGGCCCCAGCTTGCCGGGCAATCCTGGGCCTGGCGTGCCGGGCGTTCAAGTTGTGACCAATCCCCGCACCGTCCCTGCCCCAGCATGCGGGGTTGTGATGCAACAACCGTACAACTAAAAATAAATAACTAATAACTTTCATTAATTTCTAAAAGTCCCCTACTCTTCTGGGTCATTGCTAAGATGACATCGAATTGGTCGCCGTAAGTGCAGGTACAATGCCGACGAAATAAAGCAAAGCAAGGGGCAGCTGCTATAATTATCGCAAACTTTGGCGAAACATTCGTCCGCATATCTGAAGCACCGGAATCAGCTATGCTTTTTTTTTGCGGACGTCTCAGAAATAATTATGGGAAATTCATCCAATGGCAAAATTTGTTGCGCACTGTGTGGAGACCAATTGACCAATTGAAACGCTCGTTATGTACATGTACATTTGGCCATGGCCAGTGCCAGCACATGAGACCAATAACAATTATTACAACACTTCATTCGTTTATTGAAGATTGATCTAGATATGTATCACTAAAAGACATGTGACCAGTGCTACTTGGTTGAAAGATTAAATTACATGTTTTAATCATTTAGCAACCATAGAAAGTGGCAACAATGTTTGTAAAAAAAGAATGGTCTGTATTTTGCACGCACTGATCTCAAAATGAGCCGTCATCTTTGTCAGGTTTTCATCTGTCAGGCTAGGGGAAACACTTTGTATTTCATATCGAAGCTCAGTGCCATAAAATTTTACCGATAGACGGTGTAACAAATTGTACAACCCCGCCAAGTCCCTGTTATTGTCCTAGGTCAGCGGGGCAGCCATTGTACAACCTGACAACCCTGGGCAAGTCCCCGCTATGGTCCTGGCCAGCGGGGCACCTTTTTTTGAAAGTTCCGGGTCCCCCGGATTACAATTGACAGGTGAATTAGTAGCAGTTTATAGTATAATGAGCTGAAGTTACGTGTAGTAGGCCCTATGCCTAGAGTGGTGTGAACATCGATGCAGTTCTTACTAATACATACATGTACTTACAGTAGTCTTTAAATAGGCAGTTAGGCCAATAAAACCCCAGACATGCCAGGCAGCAGACTGTCAGTGCCAGAGGTTTGTCATGTGTCTGTCCTGGGTCCAACGTCTGCCCCACACCCGTTCGTTGGAGCGGGGCAGACGTTGCGTTGGACCCTTCGTTTCTTGTTGGGTAGACAAGTGACACAAATTCTGCTCCTTTCAATCAAATTTTCCTTTGAGTGCAACCATTGTCATAGCCCCACCAGTGTGGCACGGACTCTCGCTAGGCCCACCACTCCATCTTTAGCCACACATCCGTATACACAATTTGCGTGTCAGCATCGTGAAAAATTTCCGCGCACCCACTTATCAACGTGGGAGCAATTTCTTTTGCACACAGAAATGATCCTTGACCTCTCCACTTTCTGAGCGCCATTTATTGAATGATTTCACTCTCGTTCTGGTATTTTCCATTCTTTTTGCCTTCACCCATTCAGTGTAACAGGCTCGCGCTCACAGTCGCCATGTTTAAAATAAGGTCGTTGAACATTTCATCACTTGACCCCACATCGTCTCGGCTGTTCCATGTCAAGACATATCTAGTAATACACAGACTGAGCGATAAGATACTACATGTACCAATGGGCTCTCCCAAAACTTGGGCAGCAGTTGTAATACATGTACATGTACAGTATGTATGGACCCATGCCAACTTGGACCTCAAGGAAACAACGGCCCATTTTGCTCATGCCGACTCGGACCCATTACCAACTGAGAGTCGAGACCCATAACTACATGTAACTCGGACCCACGCCAACTCAGACCCACCCCGAGGAACATTTCGTTTCTGCATGATTAATTATCAAGAGTGCTCTAAATGACAGGTTTCGGATATTTATTCAACCTTTCATTATTTTATTCAACCTTAACAAAATCCTAGGTTTTAGATTTCATTTGCCCATATCTTAAGTCAGTCAAGGGATGCCAAATTATTATTATTTTATTAACCCAGGGTGAATCCAAACAGCCGAAGCTGATTTCCACTAGAGCCCTGCAATTGTAAAACTAAGCTTTAAAAGGGCTAAAGATAGGACGGGGTTTGCATTAAATCTGAACATGAAAGTGGTTAAAATTATTCTGAAATAAATAGTCCTATGTTAAAACCAAAAAAAAATTAATTATAATAAATTGAACCACAAAAACAAGTTAAAGTCAAAACATAAAATACTTGAAACAATTAAGATAAAATTAATAAAAGTATAAGAAATGTACCAAGGAAAATAATAAACAAAACCTAATCAGGGGAACATCTTAATCTAAGGTACTAAAGAAAAAAGAGCTGAAAAAACATGTACGTATTTTAATTTTAAAAAAGCACAAGGGAAAAAAAATTGAGTTTCTTCTTGTAGATATTTAAGTTTTGAAAGCGTGAAATGAGTGTTGGGCTCTGAGTTGAGCAGGGAGGCAATTCCAGATTTTTGCTCTGATGACTGAGAAGCTGTGTGAATAGTGTTCCGTCTTTGTAGTGGGAATTTTTAAAGTGGCATTTGTATTCTGTCTTGTGACTCTGTACCCAGAAAAAAAAAAAAGAGGTTAGTCATGTACATGTACTTGGGTGTCATGGAGTTTAGACATTTAAAAACAAATATTCCTTTCTTAAAATGTACTCTTTTATAGAAAGGCAGGTACTTTAGGGATGAGAACATATCAGCTGGCGAGGTAGTAAACGGACAGCCCATAATTAACTTTGCTGCTCTTTTAAGTAATTTGTTAAGCATAACACTGTGGCCTTCATATCGGCCTCCCCAAATCGTACAACAATAATCAAGTTTTGGCAAGACTAAGCATTGAACAAGGGTACACAATGTACGTAGGCTGTTTCTAGGGATACAATGCCCAATTCTGTACATAGTGCCTAATTTGGAACAGACCAATGTATACATGTAGTCCACATGGGGAGACCAACTTAGTACAATGTATGTCGTCGATAATAACACCAAGGCATTTAAAAGTGCTTAGCTTCTCGACTAAGGAGTCACCAATGCGAATGTTCAAATCATTTGGTAGTAGTTTTATGTCTTGGTCCAGTGAGCATTGCCTTGGTTTTAGAGGCATTAATACTTAACTTATTTCTCTTAGCCCAACCCTCTATTCTGGTCATTGTTTCATTCAGGCTGTTCTGGATCACTTCCGCTGAAGAACTACGTGTAACAGTACAATCGTCAGCGTACCGTACATGTACATGTATGCACAATTTTCAATCCCCAGGAATAGCAGAGGGAAGGTCCATAGTAAAGATAACAAACAGAAGTGGAGCAAGAATTGAGTCTTGTGGAACATCAGTATTGAAGGGGAGAGGATCAGACTTGGCCCGCTCGATGCGTACCGATTGATTGCGATTGGTTAAGTAAGAAGCGAACCAACTTATGACAGACTCAGACAAGTTCAAAGTCCGTAACTTATGTATGTAAGAGGATGGTGTGGTTAACAGAGTCAAACGCCTTACTAAAATCAATAAAAACGCTACCTTTCATTTTCCCAGTCTATTGATTTCAGACAATTGTTGATCAAATCATGCAAAGTGGTCTCCGTCGAATGCAGTGGTCTAAAACCAGATTGGCAGGCACTGAGGTGTATAGGAGTTTTCATGAAGGTGGGTGTACAGTGCACTATATATGAACTGCCCTTTAGAGAATTTTGGAAACAAGTGGCAAGATGGAGATTGGCCGATAGTTATTATTATTAGACTTATCTCCACCTTTATGGATAGGAATGACAGACCCATGTTTCCACGCATCAGGATAGAGACCACTTCTGAGCGACAAATTTCAGATGTATGTAAGCGATCCGCTAATATATGGACATGTATGCGAGTTTAAGAAGCTTGACACTTACAATGTATACCATCAGGGCCTGTTGCTTTGCCCATAGGCATGGTGGTAATCTGCCTCGTGATAAATTCTTCGCTAATTTCTGGGAAAAAAATTCCTCAATACATGCATTATGCCGAGTCGGGAAAAGGACAGCGTCAATTTTATCCCTGTCAGAAACAGCGGTGGGATGAGTGTTTTTGGAAATGCGCCCACCGATTGTTGAAAAGTGACCATTGAATACACCAGCCACATCATGAGGGTCATTTAACTTGATGCCTTTTGTGAGTCAGTGCCATGCAATGTACTTCAGATTAAATCCCTGAGTTTGATCAAAGTTTTACATGTAAATGATACTACTTAAAAAGGAATTAAAGTGGGCAGAAATCGTCTTGGTTGCAAACCAGAACATCTATAGAAGCAAGAATATTTTGGGTTCCACGCCGAAAGCCTCGCTGCTGGGGCTGTCAGGCTTTGCATGTTTCATTTATTATCACAAAGTTGCCAAAATAGTATAAGGCAGTGGGTCTCAGTTGACTTAGGGTGGGTTAAAGTTGCCTTGGGTCCAAGTTAGTTATGGGTCCGAGTTGGTCATGGGTCCGAGTTACATGTAGTTATGGGTCCGAGTTGGTCATGGGTCGGATTTACATGTAGTTATGGGTCCGAGTTGGTCATGGGTCCGAGTTACATGTAGTTATGGGTCCGAGTTGGTCATGGGTCCGATTTACATGTAGTTATGGGTCCGAGTTGGTCATGGGTCCGAGTTACATGTAGTTATGGGTCCGAGTTGGTCATGGGTCCGAGTTGGTCATGGGTCCAAGTTACATGTAGTTATGGGTCCGAGTTGGTCATTAGTCTGAGCTACTGTAGTAATAGTATTGGGCCCGCGAGTACGTTGGTGGTGTGGGTCTGAGTTGTCTTCAGGTCCTGACCTGATCCCCCTAGACATTGGTAGCCTAAAGGAAGTTTCAGACCAAAAATCACGGAGGGTTTCTTGATCATTCATCCATTTTCTTCCCAGCGATCGCACCGTACGATACATTTTGTGTGCATCACACAGTGCACATGCAGCAACGGCCGCTGACCAATATTAGCCGAGCTAGTTGTGCATGTTAGTTTGACTATTTTTGGAGGTGGCAGTGTTTAACCTGTCACAGCTAGCAAAGCACTTGGCCTGATGGTAGCCCTCCAGTCACACAGCTCAGAGGCCACTCATACGATAATAACAAGATTCCCACCCCCACCTCGTTACAGACAAACTCACCTTACTAAATCGGCCATTGGCCCACGCATGTGCATCGAGCGTTTGATGTACACAGATTTTTCAGTTTGATTGTTGGAAAGAAAACCCTCAAATTTTTCAAAAGATAATTGGTCTTAAAAGTAAAAAAACTGGTATTAATTATGCAGTTTCAAGGGCTATACATGTAGGTACTTGTACATGTACCTCAAGGTTGCTCTCACGTGAAAATTTGATGGAAAAAGTTGAATTTTTGTCATGATACATTACCTCAAAGGCTGAATTAAAAAAACAGATACCGGTAGCATTGCAACCTTGTACATGTATAACTTATGAACAAACAATGGCCACAAGTCACACAGATTAGTGACTTTAGAACATTCCTGGAGGCATAACCCAAGACTGAAAACTGGGGGGTTCACCGTCCACCCTAAACAGAGCGGAGCAGACAGCGTACCCCACCTGACTGCCTACAGTTCTTGGGGAAAACCTCCTAAGCATGGCAAATATCTTTTCTCCATCAGTCATGTTCTTATTCTCAGCCTGGGCCTGTCACCTAGCCCAGATTGGAGGGCACTTTTGGTCTCTTCAGTTAGGGTCATGTATGTGCATGAGACATAGGTGGGACCTTGAGAGGGCACAATTTTCCCAGAAATAGAGGCTCTTTTGGTGGGAACGCACCATGGGAGACTATGAAGTACATGTACATGTACAGACGCGCATCATGGTTGCATCACTACCAATCAAATGAACTGTCCCCACCACAGCTCATTTTAACCAATGAGGAGGTGCTTCAGAAAGAATGCCATACACGCTGTGCATGTACGTGTACATGATGTACACTGATGTACATTTATCCAAGGTTTTCCTTCCACCTCTGAAACTGAACATCCCTTCATTGTCTTCTGCACTCATTATCATCCTGTAATTGGCACTAAATGTGCTGTTGGATGATCAGAAATAAATAAATAAACAAAAAATATAAATGTAATGTAGCTGTAATGTGGATGCGGCTTGATGCCCTGTGCACAAAAGGACCATGGAGACCTTATGAGACAGGTCTGAAAAGAGTGTTTTCTGAATACCTGGATATTTTTAATGCTAAATTTGACCTTTTTGGGACATTTTTATTGCTTGGAGATGGCTGGTAGTACCTATGTCTACACTACTAAATGTTAGGTCGCTGTACGGAAATATAAGCGGAATCATCAGAAGGCCCAATGTGGATTTCTTTCCGTACTTGTACATCTTGTCTGACATCAAGGATATCAAGTAATCGTGGCATTCCATCTTGACTGTTAGTGCTCCCTCACACGGTGCACTTGAAATAAATCTCCAAAACCCTACATAAACATTGGAGAAGTTCTGTAAAGTTCATAATTTCTAAAAACGTATTATTACCTCAATTTACGTTCCAAACAAAAGTTGTTCGGAAATTGTTTTTTTAAAAATTAATTAAGTTGTGGACACATTTGGAAGAGTCCATGTTGCACTTCGGGAAAAAATAAGAAATTTAAGCAAAATGTTCAGTAGAAATTTGTAGTGGGTGAGTAAAAAAATAAGAATAGTGGGAGTTTGATGAAATTTCACTTATTTTGAAATTTGAGGTAAAAATGTTGCTCTTCGGCAAGGCACTGGAGGCAAAAAATCAAACTGTGGGGGGGCAACAGACAACAGTAAAAACAGTGCTTTTGTTTTTTCTTGTAGGAGGACGGCAGTATTTGAGAAGATGATGGAGCAAGGAATGGCCGATGTGTGGGCAGCATCAGCAGAGAGAGTAGAACTGAGTAAGTTCCTTCCCAGTATCAGGTTATCCAAGACTAGCTGGATTGAGAAATTCAACTTTTTTCCTACATGCATAAGCTTACTCATTTTGTCCTGTACCATTATCGCAATGTCAACCTTCCCAAATCCTTCAAATCCACCAGGAGATTTGTGGAAGATTTTACAGGAATAAGGAAGGTATAGCCCAGCCACTTGGATTTCACAAGGGACTTTGTGCCTCTGTAGAATTTTGGAGAAATTACCATTCTTGGGAGGATTTTTTAGGATTTGAGATGATTCATAGGAACCTCAGTCTTTCTATGCTGTCCTTTTGTCTTGCTACTTGAATGATCTTTTATAATTGTTTTGTCTTGACTCCAGTAGCTTGGATGAGTTCAGCCACATAGAGAATGATGAAGATGACTCTGACGTTAGCCGTAGCACAGACAGTGAAATTAGGTATGCATACTTTGGCCAGAGACTGTGTGTAAAACGATTCTAGATAACAGAAAAAAATTAACAATTCAATACAAAACCTTAGTATTGCGTTTTCCAGTTTCAAAATAATTTGACAATGTAATGGACGTGTCCACTCAGAAAAGATGTTGTACGTTTTTCTATTTGGGGGTAATTTCTTTGTTATCAGAGGAGAGAGGGAGGAAGAAGTACAAAAAATTCCAAACAAATGAAAACAGAAAGGAAAAAGTGAAGGAAAGTTATTCCTTGTTTCAGTTTTGGAGATTTTTTTGCAGTGAAGCACCTGTCTGTTTTCTTAACTGAAGTCAACTCACAGAGTCAGTGATGACATACATGTGTGTTTTTTTATCCCCATTTTGTTTTTCTAAAGCAGCAAGCGCAGGAGAAACTCAAGTTTCAGTGCGGACTACGGTAACAGCGACCCTGACAGTGATGAGGAACTAGAACAGTGGATGGAGATAACAGCAGGTAGACAAGCTGCCACTTTTAAGTCATGTTTGTTTAGAAATCAACTTTTTGATGATGCATTTGGCCCTTGCACTTCCTAGTGTTCTAACCCTGAAAAAGCGAAGTTATTTTGGACCATCACAACCAGGGGAAGGGGGAAGGTAATGCCCTCTAACTGGCCTGTCCAGTTCCTACCCGAGGGGGATTTAGTTCCCCCTCCCCCAGAACTCAGCTGTCCCATGCCTGATTTGTTTTAAAATCAGTACAAACATGGAGTTTTAACTCGATCTGCCATAAGGGTTTCGTTACGGTTATTTTAAGTTGAAGGCTACACGTAAAAGTATACATTTTGGGTTGAACTGTCTCAGGAAAAAAGATTGCTGGGCTAGAACAATAAGTGGGATTTTTACAAAAATGGTATCAGAATGACCACAAAGAATTACTTTTAGGATATGAGAATACATGTAAATGGGTCCCCACCCTGGCTCCTTTAAAGATGGGATTGATCCATGATTCTCTTCAAGAAATCTCCACACACATAGTCGTAGATTTTAACATTCGTACAGGACAGAAAGGAGTTACTGGTTCCTTCTTTTGGTTGTACATTTGCCAACTGGCATTAGATCCAAATGGACTGGCTTAGGCTAGCAGACAGTAGTTCACTAAAGCCGCTCACTTGTGGCTTGTTATTACCTCTGTAATTATCTCCTTTTACTCTCAACCACACCTTTAGGACATTGTCTTGAAACCCAAACTCTGCAATTTATTGCAATGCATACAGACATAACTGCTCCCTTTCTGTTTTTGTGTTGTTTCCAGGTGTTGAAGGGTAAGCAGCGTAGTTGGCCCCCTGCCTGTGGACTCATCTTCTGGCATCACTGCCCTGATAG